AAATTGATTTTGATTTCTTTCTATTATTAATTACTAAATAATATCTTCAATTTGAAAGTAAAATATTGATTGTTTATTTAATAATAATTTATTGAGGTTTTTCAAAAAAAATATTTCTTGTTTATAAATTGATTTAGTTTGTGGGGTGAGGCGTTTATATTAGGCTAAATGTGGTTAAGTAGGATTTCAGTTTGTCGAGTTTTTACGGTATACATACTACACGACTCGTGAATTCGCCTCATCAAACTAATTCTCGATAGCACCTGTATTCATAGTAAAAAATCAAATTCATAGATATGAATTAATAAAATTTACAGATTTGTAACTTAAAAAGCATTGAAAGATGAATGTAGTTACCACGCCACACTATGTAATTGTAATTTGTGGCGGAGTATTTGTGTACCTACCTATGGATGGATGTAGGTACTTATGTATGTATCTACGATATGTATATATATAAATACCTAGATACCGTACCTACCTATATATCTATATATATATTCAAGCAAATCCCATCAGCTATCTATCAAAGAAGATCTCATCTCTCTCTCTCTCTCTCTCTCTCTCTCTCTCTCTCTCTCTCTCTCTCTCTCTCTCTCTCTCTCTCTCTCTCTCTCTCTCTCTCTCTCTCTTTTGAGAAAAAAAAAGAAAGAGTAACCATGAAGCAAAAGGTGGAATCGATGATAGCTGGAGGTACCTACATATCTTCTTGAGTCTCGCTACAAGTTGCGACGCCTCTTTTCTTTTGAGGCTTTTTGAGGCTTTCAAGGCTTCTAAGGCTTTCAAGGTTCTAGAACGTTTGGATGGATGGATGATGAATGGATAGATGATGGATGAGGGGGTGGAAGACATATTTTTCTATAGATTTTTTCATCTTTTTTTCTTTCTTTAATCTTGGGGCTGGCTGTGGAATTTGAATGATTTCTAGGGGAGGGAATACTAGTATCTGGGTAGGTGGGTAGGTATTATCCCCTTAGGTGCGTTAAATAAACTCCGTTGCTTAATAGAGGCGTATTAATTAATAATATTATTAGAATTTCTTGATTTAATTTAATATTCAAATTCAATCTTTAATATAAAAATCAATCAATATCATTTTTATATTAAAATTTCGAATATAATAATATATTCTAATTTTCAATCTCTAGAATTTTTTTAAATTTAAGAAAATCGAAAATAAAAGTCAAGATTCAATATTATAAATAGTATAACTAAAAAACTATTAAAATAGCTATTTTATTCAATAAGGCTTTATTATTCAAGGCTTATTATAAGTCGGGTACCCCACTTTCGGGCCACCCCCCTTTTGGGCCACTTTTTATACCAAAAATACACCAAAAATGGAATTTATAACTTTCTTATTTATAGATAGAATTTAATGAAAATTTATATGTATATAATTTAAATCGATTTAAGCTTATTCTGAAATTTTTAGATTTTTAGGATTTTTCTGTATTGAGAACTAGAGCTTCAAAATATCGATTTTTAAATTTATATGGGAATCATATATAAATTTAAATTTTTATAAAATCATTAATAACTTTCTAATAAAAATTGCTAAAAATAAATTGTAAAATTTTATTATAAATTTATGATATATTCAACGTAATAGATTCAGAAAAAATAGAAAATCTATTATAAATAAATACTTATAGGGATACCCTCATAATGACAGGGATTATTTATATTACTCTAAACTCACTGTATACTATATTTCTATATCTATTAATTTTTTTGAATTTTTTTTTGAATTTCTATATAGATTCAAGCTTAAATATCTCAAAAATATATATGATTTTCTTTTAATAATTGTTTTTAAAAAGTTATTAAAGATTTTATAAAATTTCTAAATTTGTATATGATTTTCATATAAATTAAAAAATTGATATTTTGAAGTTTTAGATCTCGATATAGAAAAATCCTAAAAATTTGAAAATTTCAAAATAGACTTAAATTGATTTAAATTATATTATATATTAATAGAAATATTAATAAACCTAAAAAGCAATTTTTGGTATAAAAGAGTGGCTCAAAACAGGGGTGGCCCGAAAGTAGGGTACTCGACTTATATAAATTTATTTATTCTATAATCAATTCTATTATTTTAATAGAAAAATATAAATAAAATAGATTAAGTATATTATAATTTCGATTATTAATTAATAGGGATAGTTTTCAATCGAAATCAACAAATTCTATAGATATAAAGTTCTCCCCTATTTCTAAAGTTGGGATAATATCTGGATATAGTGTTCTTATATTAGTTGAATCAAATTGTATATCAATTGAAGGTATATTGATTGAATAGTTGTGTATAGTATATTGGTTGTTTTATTAAATATCAATATCAGGAATTATTATTTTAATAGTTGGGCTGGGTGCACGGGCCACATATGCCGGCCGTAACCCGCAGTCTAGGGGATACTAGGTACCTCGGTACCTGTGTATTGATTGATTGTATTATATAATCCAAATCTTTAGTACACCAGGTATTGGTGTATCTAGATATCGAGGTCATGTTATGGTCAGCCTCATCTTCGTAAGGGGCTTTTATTTTATTTTTATGTCTAGAACCTTTGGAGGGAGGAAAGTGAGGAGGAGAGAAAATTCCGAGATTCGCGATAGAATACCCCGAGAGGATTTGGAGAAGGTTGGTTGGTCGATCTTGAACTTTTTTTTTTTAGTTGTTTGATTGTTTTTGGGTTGGTTAGTGGTTTATTTGGTTGTTGTTTTTGTGGTTGAGATTGCAGTTGAGATGATAAGAGTACTGTGTATATAATTATGTTTTGGTTAGGAGGGAGTTTTATGGGGGTTTGGTGAAGATGAATGGGTTACCTAGTAGTTAATTGTGGATGGTGAATCTTGATGTTAGGGGAGCGGAGATGGATTGTATGTATGATGTACGATGTATGATGTACGATGTGATGGATTGAAGGAGTTGGAGATGTGTGTATGTAAGATGATATCATTCTGAATGAATGGAGACCGGTGATGGATGCATTGATTGATAATTATTGATAATGGATGGATAATCGATCAACAGGATGAGGGAATCCGATGGGATGACTTGATAAGCAGCAACGAGCGAAGATGGAGGACGGGGGAGGGAGGAGGGACGCATTGTGGATTGTGGATTGTGGATTGCGTTTATGGATTGTGTTTGGGTCTGTGGACGGGAAACGAACTGTGTACACAATTTTATGTGTAGGTTGGAGGGAAAAGTTGGTGCGGAATGCGAGAAGAAGAGAATTGACCAATGAGGGAGGTGGAGCGACAGATTCTAGGTTCTGGAGGAGAGGTACCTAGGTTCTAGGATAAAAGGGTTACAACTTACATTTACAACTTCATCCGAGTCCATTCGTAGAAGTGGAACTAGGTGTGTGTAAGATAGATTAATTTTGTGCATTGGTCGAGGAAGTGAGGAAGTGAGGAAGTGTGTAACTGTTGCGAGATTCTAGCTAGGTCTTTCCTTCATAAGGAGAGATACTGTCTAGAGGAGATGGATGTCTGAAACATAAAACGGATGAAAAGGACGGGAGACTGTATCTGTATCTGTATCGGTATCTGTATCGGTGATGGAGAATATTGATTCTTGGCCGTTCACATAGAGAGTATCGCACCGGCGGTTTTATCCCAATTGATGTGGAGAGAAAGGGTTTGGTTCTGTTCTTGGCCTCGTTCTTGGAGGTGGAGGTGGGTGGAGGTGTGGAAGTCTTTCTTTCAGATAATGATAATTTTGATAAGCGATGATCTTGAGGGTATGTGGATTGAGGTGAGGGTATGATGTATATTCCGTGATAATAAGTATTAATTAATGAAATGTTATATGTATAGTATGGGTATATATATGTATACTGGGTAGGTATAATAAAACAATATTCATATTAAAGTCAAGAATGATAAAGCATCCTATGAAGTATTAAATTAGTTAATAAATTGAATCCTTAGTATATTGAATACTATATCTACTTATTACTTAATCTCTAGCCATTACTTATTACTTACTACTTACTACTACTTACCACTTACTCCTCAATTCCTTACTACCTCCTACTTACTCCCTCCTATCTCCTACCTACCTCTCCTCCATTCACGTTACATTCTCACCCTAACCCCAGCCTTCAACTAAGCCCGAATCATGTGTTGACCGATGCTAGACCAAGACCATTCAAACAAAAGCATATCCTACTGCTACATACAGTCAGTGGTCAAAGTGAACCCTATTTCCCCTAAGATCTCAAGGTAGCCAAAGATGCTTGTGCAATATCCTAAAGGAGACAAAGTTGACGGGAAAGGGAAATTTTAAAGTCTTGAATTCTTGCTGAACCACCGGAATCTGGTAAATTCGAGACGGCCAACTCACTCGCTCACACGCTTTGTTTCGGTTGAGACTCTTCTCTCACAAAAACCAAGAGTCAAGAGAAGAGGAACAAGGTCATCGTAAACAAGGTAAATATGAATAACTCATTACAAGCACTTTTCATCTTTATTTCACATGAGTGATGGGATAATCCTAAGAGATCAAAAGATAATTCAAATACGAACTTTGCCCCATTCCACGCACATTTCCTATCGTCTTGTTATCAACACTCCGTCTATCCTGCACTCCGTACGACAATACCCAGGGTAGTCTCTCAAATCATGATCCGAAACATTGCCCTTCGTATTGAGATTTTGTATAACAACTCTCTGACAAAGCCATCTCCCAAGTGAAAATGTTGTCCAAAGTTTAAGGTTAAGTGAAGAAAAGGAAGAAGAAGAAGAAGAAGAAGAAGAAAAAGACCAACCCAAATCCAACTGCGCCACTCTCAAACTGTTTGTCCTTTTCCTCTCTAGTCCGTAGTCTTCTTCTCCATCAGGTCAGCTCATGACAGGACAATCCATAATACCACAAGATTGGAAATCCAAACTGGAGCACGGTCCAACTGAGCGGACGACAAACCACCGATTCATTCTTCCTTAAACCTAACCTTGTCTTGACTTAACTTGTGTCTCTTGCATCTATCGACATTATCTCCTGTTTTGGAGATTCATTCAATCACTCCATTTCATAATCCTCTCTTCATCAACATCATCGTTCATATAAGTTCGAGTCGCAGCTCTTGTTAAAGCTGTGATACTCGATCTCAATGACTCAGTTATTTCACGCTTCATCTCCAAATTCTCTTCCTGCCAATAACGAGAAGCGGAATTTGTCCGGTTCCTCGATGTCGTCGAACAAGCATTCCAATGGCCACAGTCCATTTCCTCAAAAGTTGAAGAACTTCTTTCGAATCAACAGTTCAACAAACCATAGTGAAAAGAGCGATCCGTCACTAAAGTCCGAAGGCAAATCAGGCTTTCGACAATCCAAATTCTTTCCAGGTGGTGGACGAAATCGATCAACGACAGTAGCAAGCGAAGGCAATGCATTAGACGACGGCGTCAGTAGTCCCACCGCACATGCGAATCCATACTTTGCACATCAAGGTCCTCCTGCCCTGCGACATCACGACGATGCATCGATACCTCCCAGTCCTCCCGATACTCCAAGTTTCAAAGTCGATACCGTTCCAGGTGTGAATGATCAAGCCACGGCAGCTGGCAAAGAAGAATTGGCACGGAAACTAAGAAGAGTCGCGAGCGCTCCTAATGCACAAGGTCTTTTCTCAGGTAAGGGTGATGGTGATCGACCGGCTACTGCCGAGCTTGGAAAGGAACCTTTGGTACACAATGCTAGCACGACAATGTTGAGTATGGTGGATGGAAATGATGCTATGGGTGTAAGTGCTGAAGATGACTTGGCACCCTTACAACCCCCCAGTCTACGAAACAATCCAGCCTTCAGGAGGACGTACAGCTCAAATTCCATAAAAGTACGTGATGTCGAGGTAGGACCAGGGAGTTTTGATAAGATCAAGTTGATTGGTAAGGGAGATGTGGGAAAGGTATACTTGGTGAGAGAGAAGAAGAGCAGCAGATTATACGCGATGAAAGGTATGCCACATCACGATCAAGGTGTTGTCTTCTGTCTAACATTCTTTAGTGTTGAGCAAACAAGAGATGATCAAGCGCAACAAGATCAAGAGAGCATTGGCAGAACAGGAAATCTTGGCTACGAGCAATCATCCATTCATTGTCACCTTATACCACTCCTTCCAATCCGAGGACCATTTATATCTCTGCATGGAATATTGCAGTGGGGGAGAATTCTTTAGAGCTTTACAAACTCGACCAGGCAAATGCATACCAGAAGATGATGCTAGATTTTATGCGGCGGAAGTCACTGCTGCATTGGAGTATCTACATTTGATGGGTTTCATTTATCGAGATTTGAAACCTGAGAGTAAGTTGTTTCTTGAAGCTTGGGCGTTGAAATATTAACAAGCATAGATATTTTGCTCCATCAATCTGGTCATATCATGTTGTCAGACTTTGATCTTTCGAAACAATCGGCCCCTGGCGGAAAACCAACCATGATTCTTGGCCGAAACGGCACAAACGTAAATTCCTTACCAACGATCGACACAAAGTCATGTATAGCAAATTTCCGAACAAATTCATTTGTTGGAACCGAGGAATACATAGCGCCAGAAGTTATTAAAGGATGCGGTCACACAAGTGCAGTTGATTGGTGGACATTGGGAATCTTGATTTATGAGATGTTGTTTGGCACAACACCTTTCAAGGGAAAGAATCGAAATGCAACATTTGCAAATATTTTGAGAGATGATGTTCCTTTCCCGGAACATTCTGGCTCTCCCCAAGTCTCAAAGTCGGTTACCCTTCACAAATTGACTTTCCAAAAATGCTAACAATATTTAGTCTTTGTAAATCAGTAATTCGAAAACTCCTAATCAAGGACGAAAACCGACGATTGGGGGCTCGAGCTGGAGCTTCTGATGTCAAAACTCACCCATTCTTCCGCACAACTCAATGGGCACTTATCAGACATATGAAGCCTCCCATGATTCCCCACCAAGGTCGCGGTATTGACACTGTCAATTTCAGAAATGTTAAAGAGAGCGAAAGTGTTGATATCAGCGGATCAAGAACCTTAGCGTCAGCTAAAGGAGTACCACTTGATTCTGGCTTGGCAACACCAGGTGCTGCCGAAGTCGAAGTTGATCCATTCGAGGAATTCAACAGTGTCACACTCCACCACGATGGTGACGATCACCATCAAACCGTGGATCAACATAATGGAAGATATGACGGTCGGTGATTGTAAGTTTTGGCGATCATCATATCAGAAACTGTTTATCGTCTATACTATGTGATGGAGTTTGGAGGAGTCACTTGGATGATTGATAGGACAAAAGACATCTCGCGAGCATATTTTCCTATGTCATTTCTTTGATTGCAAGGACTGGATGATTTTAATACATTGCTTGCGGTTGATATTCAGTAAGCAGACGAGTGTTTGAAGAAAAAACACAAATACGAGACTAACGCTACGCATTTTACCTCTTTCTGTTTGTAAATACTGAAACTGGGAGAAGGGAGCAGAAAGACAAGGTTATGGGGTTTTAAATTTGGGAATTTTTGAGGTATAGGGAAAAGAGTTTGAGAATTTGTGTTGTTTTCCCCAGAATGTTCAGTCCATTGACTGGATCGTGTTTATTAGCAAAGATTTGGGGTTCATTGTGGGGTATGGCGCGTACCGGTTAAGAGAATGGCGTTTTACTTTTCTAGCTCTCCTTTTCTGTGGCTGATTATGATTGGGAGATGGGAGATGGGGACTGGAGCCGAAGGTAAAGGGAGGTTGGACGGGTAGTAAGGATTAGCAGGTTAGAGGAACATGTCGATAGGTCAATAAGTTGATAGGAATTCTACTTCTTCTTCAATGAAGGGGTTGGTTTAACTAGGCGAATCTGCGTATAATTTGTGAGAGTAGGTCTTGAAAGTTGTGATGCTAAGCCTTGCCGTGAAGCATGTCACGTGTTGGATTAATGTTTGGAGGCAAGTGCGACTACGTTCCTACTCGTTTGGTCAGTTTGTGAGGAATGATTTCTCCCACATTTGAGTTTTGATAATATTATATATACTCTTTGTCAATCAAGAAGGGGTCCGAATGCACAAGATTGATGCGGACATGGTTTCATCTCCTTCGGCTTACCATTTCTTGCTTTTGATTTGACATTTCTCAATTCAAGTTTTTCTCACGCATGAATGTCAAAATGATATGTGGACTCAAATGAATGATGTGTCATTCGCCTTTCTTCGTTGGCGAGACAATCTTCGCCCTTGAGTGCAATGATGGTGGTGCGAAATATTTCGATGCACATGACCCACGAGATGCACATTTGAGATGCGACAGTCGCTTCGAAATCAAGTTATTCGAGGAGGCCTGAGGTCGGTGAGAGAATTAGGACAGAATGGGGCGAAGACTGTATGTAGTGTGATTGAATTGTGTGTATGTAGTGGAAGATGGGGATGCGGGGAGCCGGTGAGGGCTGTGCTGTGGTGGGTGGTACGGGAGAGCCTTGTCGAGTTCGTCTTTATCTTTTTGTTTTTGTCCTTTCGGTTTGAAACTACGTTTTTGTGATGGTTTGTAGTATTTGCTGATTTTTTATCAATCATTAAATAAGCAGCTATGCCCATCGGCAAGAGATTCAAACGAGGCTTTCGCTCGATCAAAGCAAATCTTAAGAATCGCTCTGATCTTCTGCAAGAGCCTGTTCAGTCCGAATCGAGTGTTGATATAACGGGTTCTGGAGCAGTTTCTGATAGGAAGAGTGGTGAATCTGTAATTCAGAGTGGCAAAAAAGCAGCTGGCGAGCAAATACAGGAGCCTATACACGATGATTCAGCCTGCTTGATGACAGGGTCATTGACGACTACCACGAATGATTTGCAGCTCTCAAATGAGAACGATCTTTGGTTCCAAGCTTCGGAGAAGCTCAAGGCTGATGATCCAGAACTGGTATGTAACTTCATTACTTCATCTCGAAAAGCATTTCTGACCAGCTAACTTTGCTAAACGTAGTATGAACAATACTCAATCATTATATGTCGCGAAGCAGACAAGAACAATGAGCACCACCCCGACGAGTCCGCACAATGCTTAGCGAATCCAGCGATGCTTCTCAAAGTGTGCCAAAATAGCCTCGAAACCATGAATTCCCCAAGTGGCAGAGCCAATAAAGTTTTTGAGAAGACGATTGAGATTGTAGGCCTGGCTAAAGATTTCGTGGGGTCTGTTGTAAGTGCCGAACCTCATGGAGCAGTAGCTTGGGCAGGTGTCTGTCTTTTTCTTCCGGTATGTTTTTGCCTACTCAGAGCTTAGTCTCTACCTTTTCTTATTTTTCTTTCATGACTTCCGATGCTTATGGTTTGCTAACAGAGGGCCAGCTTCTCCTCAATCCCTCTCAACAAGATGAAGCTTGTCGCAAAGGTCTTGAGGAACTACCCTTCCTTATCCACAAGTATAGTCTAGTGGAGAGCATTTGTGCAACTAAAAGTTCGGATTCAACAATTGCTACCACGGCTACTATGTTGTCCAGTGGGATCATCGACTTATATACCAAGATACTTAGTTTTCAGGCCGAGGTTGTATGTCAATTAAATCGATCCACGATCAAAGGCTATTTGCGGAAAGTTTTCCAAACCGATAAGTGGGAAGCCATGCATCACGATGTCTTACGCATAGAAGGGCGATGTTGGGGTATAGCCCAGGCGACTGATAGCGATCGTTGTAGTAGGTTGTCGAAGGAATGCAATAGCAAACTGGCAGAGCTTCATACCATTGGGCAAGTCCTCAGGTACACATCCAAAAAGATGATGGGCTGATTTTAATTCAGATCGGAGCTCCTTAAAGTTTCAAGTCATACATATCAGGCCGTTATTGATATTGGAATAGAATATCAGCAACGCGAAAGAACCAGGGAGGAAATGGATTGTCTGCAAGCTTTTCGTTCGGCTAATCTTTACGAAATACAGCAAAAGCGTAATCCAGATCGAGTCCCGGGCACTTGCGAATGGCTTTTAGCATCGCAGGCATTTACTGATTGGAGGGACAAGAAGAGCGCGGGTCTACTTTGGATCTCAGCTGATCCAGGCTGTGGGAAGTCCGTCCTGTCGAAAGCCTTTTACAAAGAAAAGCTAGTGAGCTTTTCTTCCGCCACAATCATATGTTACTTCTTCTTCAAGGATTCATCGCCTGAACAATGCAGCATTACAAAAGCAGTTGCGGCTTTGCTTCATCAGATATTTTTGTCTAACGGTAGTCTTCTAAAACATGCCATGGCCAAGTGGAACAAAAATAAAAGCGAGCTTTGTAATCTGCATGATGACATGTGGGATATTCTAGAAGCTATCGCTACTGACCAAGCCGCTGGAGATATTGTCTGTATAGTGGACGCCTTGGATGAATGCGAGTCTGAAAATAACTCAAGAAAATCGTTTGTACAGAGAATGCACAAACTTTTATTCAGGCCAGAATGTCATATGCGATTTGTTGTCACTAGTCGTCCTTACTCTCAAATCGAACGAATATTCACAGGATTGCATCATAATTTTCCTGTAATTCGCATAGCTGGGGAAATGGAATCTGAAACTATCTCGAGGGAAATCAACCTGGTCATCAACCACGAGGTTCAGCAGTTGGACTTGGATGAGAATGTTAAAAGTTATATCATAACTCGTCTACGAGAGATGGAACACAGAACTTACCTTTGGTTGCACCTTATCATGGACGTTATTCGAAAAAGAATCGAGAGTAGTGGGGAGTCTAGGAAGATAGATGAAAGCTTGCGATCACTGCCCAAGACTGTGGAGAAAATGTAAGTAGAATGGTTGTGTTCTATATCCATCAACACTCCAGTGGAAGCAATAGACTACCAATACTGATCAAACCCGCCTCAGATACGAAGAAATTCTAGACAAGAGTCCTTATCGAGCAGAGACCGAAAAATTACTTCATATAATTGTTGGTGCAGAGCGTCCGTTAAGTACGGATGAAGTAAACGTAGCTATGAACATTCAGATATGTTACGATGGTACCCAGAGTTTTGACGACATACAGTTAGAAAATAGTGAGCGCTATCCAGGAATGCTTCGTAACCTCTGTGGTCTATTCATACAATTTGTGGACTCGAAAGTGTACCTCATACATCAGACAGCGAAAGAATTTCTCGTCGCAACTGAATCTGGAAGAAAGTTTCCGGGTAAATGGAGATATTGTCTTGAGCCGCAAGAAACACAGAAGATTTTGGCTCAAATTTGCATCTCTTATTTATATCTGAGCGATCTCAATGCTTGGAGTGATTCTGGTTACCCAGAAGACGAGCATGGCTCCATCCCTGCGACGAATGTACCCAATAATCTGATTGATTATTGGGGGAAGAATTGGATGGTTCACTATAAACGTGTACCTAGCACCGTTGACCCCGTTGTTATCGTCGAACTATGCTCCATATCTACTCGACGCATAATCTGGCTTCGAGTTATGGGCTGGAACCCAAAGAGTTACTACCGGGTGAGCATGGAAATGGGTGATTGCTACCGTTTGAATCGAAAATTAAAAGCAGGGGTAACGCCTTTAATGATAGCTTCATTCTTTAATCTTCATGAAGTTGGCAAGTATATTGCTTCAACTTTAAATTTCCAAGAGAAAGAGTTGAATTACTGCGGCCTTTTAGGAACAGCTTTGTCGTTTGCAGTCGAAAATAAATCTTTTGAAATGGTATGTTTGAGTTCATCGTTTCTCCCGCGATAAGCGTTGTTTTATCTTGAAATAAACCTTGTTCTAGGTGGAGTTACTCCTCCAGAAGGGCGCCGATGCAAGTTTAGGGTACCACCCGTATTTGGTGAGATATTTACCTCTTGATTCTGCAGTGGAAGTCGGTGACCTTCCGATCGTCCGACTCTTGTTAGAAAACCAGGTGGCAGACGAAAGAAATAAGTACACTATAATTAGCGCACTAGAAACGGCAGTACATGCTCACAAAACTGAAATAGTCAGATTGCTCCTTGAATCAGCAGTGCGACCTGTCGTGGAAGGATATCTGGAATCAGCCTTAAAAGTTGCTGTGGAGTGTCGTTTCGCTGAGATCGTAGAAATTTTGCTGGAATTTGGAGCTAGTTCAACCTACAAATTTGATCTATGGTTCATGAACAATGCCAGATCATGTTTATCATACGTTCTAGACTCCCTTAGCGAGAGTTCACATACAGATTCTTGCGAAGCGGAGCTTATGTTGAAATTGCTTTTGTTGAAGACGGAGCCGCTGCCTCGTAAGGTTATGAATGATCTGCTAGTCGAATACGTCAGCTTTAAGTCAGATGAAGTCGATCTAGTTCGGTTGCTACTCAATCATCCACTCCATACCGAGCCAGAAGCTCATGATGAGGGTTCACCAATAGTGTTCGCAGCGCTATACGCAAAAATTAAATCCATGGAACTTATGATGAATGAGACGCATGATATTGATAGCTGTCGAGGAGCCATCCCATGGTTTAACAAATATACTTTGCCGCGAGGAAGATATGGGGGCTATACCTGGTCAGAAAGAAGGCCGATTCACAAAGGCTGGTTTACCAGGGACATCGAAATCACTGTATTGTTTGCAGGTATCATTTCTACAAATGAGCGTGTGGTCCAAAGTTTGATTGATCACGGCGCCGACGTCAACATGAATATAGAGCTTGGGACACCCTTGTTCATTGCCGCCGCGCTATCTAGCAAATCTGTGGTTCAATTGCTGCTCAAGAATGGTGCACGAATCACGCCGTCAAAATTTAGGGGGAGAGAGCAGTCGTCTCCTTTGGTTTTTGCGGCGGCTCGGGGAAACATCGAAATCGTGGAATTACTGCTTAACGCTGGCGCGGATGTTGAGCGGGGGACAGCAATTATGATTCATTCGATGCTGGCTCATAAGCGTGGTATTGAGGGAAGATTTTATCCTTCTGCCATTGAAGCTGCGGAGATGGAAGGTCATGAAGAGGTGGCTGCGCTTTTGCGGGAGTATAGGGCGAGGCAGGCCGTGACGGGAGTGGAGGAAGTGGAAGTTACTATGATGCCGAGCAGAGTTGAAGGGGTGGAAGATTAGTCTGTGGGTTGATGTCGGGGATGTTTAGTTCTTGTAGTTTGTGTAGTATTTGTTTTAGGAGATTTTGAATGTTTTGAATGTTTCTGGGAATTTGGTTTACTATATGGGTTTCTTTTTGGGGGAATATGATACTAGGATCGTGACGAGTTGTATCAAAACTTACTACCGCCAGCTTCAGAAGAAAGAGGCCCCAATATTTGAATTGAGATGAGCGCGAATAATTTGTGCATACGTCTATATAACGGACTACAATTGAACACATTTATAAGTCTCGAGACCAATGGTATCCGATATGCTCCACTGATGTACGAAAACTTGGAGCTCTCAATTTCTGTATCCGATCAGTATATGCAGTTAGTTCAAATTCTTCGATTCGATCTGAGGTCTGATGGAGGAAAGTGAAACCCACGCATCGTATCTCTCATTGATGTACTCTCCTCCCACATTACATCATGACATTCATTGCGTGACCGCTTTCCCCTTGACCCACGACCTCATCTTCTCACGATATGAAAATATAACGAGCAGGAAGTGCGAGTTATGGATAGCATAGAAAGGCATTGTTATTGTTATTGTCCTTGCTATTTATTTACATATTTACTTCTTTATTTATTTGCAATGCTAAATTCTCACGACATTTGCAATTAATAATTCCATCCCATATTTGAGCACATGACTACATTGCAATATTGCAACATAGGTGTATATAGCAACCCGTTCATTCATGCAAGCTATCGTCCATAGAAGCTATTGAATTGAATGCAATATTATTCAGATCCAAAGCAATTGATATTATCATTATCTCGTAACTTCGTAATATGCACGTACACTTACTTCTCATTCTAGTGATCTCTTGCCACATTTTTTTTCTCTCGAAGAAATACCAACAGATCCGTAAATATTCCATGAAACATATTTCTTTCGTTTCCTTTCATTCATCATTTTTCCGTCTTCCAGTCACGGAAACTCACACCCACGCACAACCCCATCCATCCAACCAACTATCTCCGTCTCGCCCTCCCCGAACTAACCGCACTCATAGGCTGAAACGCATCATCCTCATCATCCTCACTAATCTCATCATCACTCAACTCAACCACCTGTTTTTTTCTCCCTACTCCTCCTCCTCCTCTTCCCGTCGCCTGACTCGGCTGCGAAAAAGTCAACTGTGTTTGAGTTTGTCTTCCGCGCGCCGCAGCCGCTCTCTTAGGTTGACTCTTTGGTTTGGCTGCTGGCGTAGGCGCAGGTGGTTCTTCCATTTCTACATCTTCGTCTTCGTCATCGCTTGGTTCGGGCTCGGGGATCTTTTTTCTACCTCTTGCTGTGGTGGTTGGTTTGGCGGGTGTTTTTTTGGGTGCTGCGGGTTTCTTGGCTGGGGCTCGTTTGGCGGGCGTTTTTCTGGTGGTGGTAGTGGGTTTAGGTGCTTCTTCTACGACTTCAGCGAATGGATCATCGGAGTCATCGTCGCTGATGATGAATCCGCTTGTGTTCTTTCCGTTGCCGTTACCGTTTCCGCGTTTGGGCGGGGGAGCAGGTGGTGCATTGTCACTATCATCATCATTGTTTTCCCCGTTATCCGTTTCACAATGCTCGACTTTTTCACCCCATTCTCCATCGAGGTCCGAGTCGAAATCTGCGGGTCTGGGTTTAGGTTTGAGTTTCTTGGCAGGTTTTTTGGACTTGGTTCCTGAGCGGGCGGCAAGTGCTTCTTGTTGAGCGCGAAACTTTTCCATGGCAGCGTTGAGATATTCATCTTCGTCTCCGACTTCGTTGTCTGCGCCGTTGGCTTGTTTGATGAGTTCTTCGACTTGAGCTTTGAGGGACTTTTGAACAAAGATTTCCATGGCGTGACGATCATCCTTATCAACAAACTGACCTACAGCGTCGCCAAAGGGGGTTGTGGGGAGGACTTGAAGGGATTGTTTTTCGAGAAATTCTTTTACAAGGAGTTCGACTTTTACGTCGTCGAAACCGGCAACTTGAGCGAGAGTTCCTTCTTCTGGGAGATCGATTTCGGTGGCGGATTTACGGGTTGCGCCGGCTTTTTTGCGATGGTATTGGATGACATCTTTGATGTTTGCGACGCGGTTGATGAAACGACTGGAGAAACGTTGAGGATTTTCGCAGTCGAATTTACCGCCTTCTGGTGGAGTGAATTCAACCTTGAGACGAACGAGAGGGAGGGGAATATCGTCGAGTTCTTCTTCTGGTTCATCTTGAAGGGAAATCCATTCAGCGCGTGCTTGATCTATGAGCTCATCCACAATGGTCATAAGTTCTTTGGTGAGTTTTGTGCGATTATCCTTTACTTTTGCGAGATGTTTAGTTCGCTTGTCTGTAGCGAGGACAACTTCTTTTGTAATGAATGGTCGTACAGACTTGAGACGAATCTTCTCGATCTTGAATTCACGACCTGTGATGCTGGCGATAGCAACATGTTTTGGGACAGCTTCACCAGGAACTAAGGATGTAGCTACTGATGATCCAGGTTGCATGACATGAAATGACTTTTCGGGATTGTAAGTTGGATCAATAAGACATTCATGTTCGTGACCCCAGACTACTAAGTCTAGGAAATCAGGAAGAAAGTTTTCGGGTAAATAGGAGGTTTCTGTGTGAGCGTGGTGATTTTGATGAACTGCCATGAGATTAAACCAATCTTTTTGTTGTACTCCTGGTTTGAACCATTTGACATGACCATCTCTGAATGTACGATAAAGACGCTCGTCTCTTACGTTACTCATACCATACAAAGCTAGCTTCGTTTGACCTTTTTGCAAAAGTACTGGTTTGATTTGAATGCGATCAGCTTCGGGGGTTCGACCAAAGTAATTGACCAACCCGGAAGCTTGTAGTAAATCCAAAGCACAGTAATTTCCATCTCCAGCCGGATCATCATGATTGCCATGAATAGAAAACACTGGTATAGCAACATTAATATCTGGATCCTCATAATTGACATGATTAAATGAACCATCAAAGATATCGTTTGCGTCGCTGAGTAATTCCAATTCGCAGGGTTTCTCTCCTAGACAATTCATTCGTAGTGATCGCATAACTTGGTACATGGCTTTTCGGGAAGGTTGACTATAGTGAAAGAGATCGCCTGCGAGTAAGACCATATCTACATCTCGATCCTTTGCTAGACGCATAACTTCGTCGAAGCTTCTCCAGCTGTCGTCCTTGCGCACAGCATCATTCTCTGCGTATCCCACATGGCTATCTGTGGCAATGAGTATTCGAATCGTATCTGCCGCTGTAAAGAAGTCAATTGACTGTTTCCTAATTAGACATTAGAACTTACCTGTGAAAGTTGGCATTTTGGCCACTCGATTTTCTTCCAAAGGAAGCTCTCCAGAAAGGTTGTGATTGTTCCGACTTATTGCAGAAGATAGAATCACTTAAATAGGGATCATCAATATCAAAGACACGAAAATATTAACAGTTTAAGTAGTATTCCGTACGAATTTACGGTTACTATCAGAATCTAAAGTTTTTGGTTGCCTGCAGTATCTGGGAGACGCGATCTGGATTAGCGTGTTTTGTTACCCCTGCAGAATGCGAGCACTTGGAAATTTATCAAACGACAACGAAGGGACGAAGTAAATCGCCCACCAAAGACATTTACTCTTTTCAATAATCAATTTAAAATCAGCCAATAATTATTTTCAATTGAAACTCTCATAAAACCGATTAGGGTCTTTTAATTTTTCAGAAAATCGATTTTTAGATCTCAAACTATAATATTTGTTGTTTTATAGCATTGAGATACAGCAGGCGTTACAATCTATAAATTGTATTGAGGGTGCGGCTTTTTCCGTTCAGTGCGTGAAAGATTTGCCGTAATTGGCGACGAGACAATTTGATATCAATCCAACGACACAATGTTTCCCAGTAGAGTTCTTCTTTCACGGTCGGTCTGGAAAGGTACGTTTTAACTCACGCCTTCAAACTTAATCATGGAATTCTAACACATAATTTAGGCCCCAATATCGTTCCGTAAGACATTCCTTGCAGATTCTATAACTTCTCTAATCACCCCTCCTCACCAGTCTCCCCATTGTCAAACCAGTACCGGGTGTTCGAACATTGCCAATTAGAACGCAAGCAAGATCTGCGACTATTCTACCTAATTTCGTTGGTTTAACCTTTGAGATTCACAATGGGAAGGTTTACAATGAGGTGACCATTACTGAAGATATGGTGGGACATAAGTTGGGGGAATTCTCGGCGTAGGTTCTAAGGAATTGGATGAGGGAAATGAGGGGCTAATTTTGCGGTCAGAACAAGAAAACGATTTACATATAAGCAGAGTAAGAACAAGTAAATGCGGGGTGTTTAGCACCGTATGGCATGGTATGGCGTTCTGGGTTGGAAAAGAGTCTTTGGGCTTTGGCGTGTGTGCATTGTGTTGCACATCAGGTGTATCATATGAACTGGTGAAGAGTGGATACATTGGAAGAACCAAGGGTGTCTTCACTTCCAGAAGCCCTTGTCGAAGATCACAAAGTCATTACTGAGTGTGAATCGTTGTAGCTTCACAGCTGAGAGACGGATTGAACCTTCTCTGACATTGGCAGCATGGCTTTTGATATTATCAAAAGGTCGACCGAAGAGGCAGTGTCTAGAAGACGTGCGCCCAGCTCTCAAATACCCATATACAATGAGTTAAACATAGGTCGAATGAGAATAAATATCTGTTTGATTTCTGTACCTGAAATATAGAATCGTTATACAATTTCGTGATGGGTCGTTCTCTGTATGCCCTTGTGCCTCTTCAAAACTCCGTGTAAATTGTAACGCCATTGAATCCCCCAAACCTTCCCAAATTATGCCTTATGATATTGCGATTTTAACGATAGAACTCCCCGCGTTTTACATTCACGCCATATTCTCCAACGGCCATACCCAAGTCTTCCATGGTGAGAATCGTTCGGTTTTGACTACCTCCCTGTCCACCACCACCAAATCCAGGTCTTTGGATACCAAGAGGTCCTCCA